ACAAATGCTAGAAAATAATATATATGCTTCACCATGGCTTGCTAATGTTAACCGTATTGATTTTTTTATTAAATTTCTACCATGACTACGGTATCAGACGACAACTCACATTTCTTTGTATTTCTTGTGTATTGAGAGTCCCGGGAACGCTCAATTCAGTGTTCACTGTAGCTTGACCATACCCGCGACAGCGACAACAAAATTGAGGAGGTTTGGTCCAGATTTCACTTTCCCAGGCCATAACCATAATACCAAATACCCGGGTTCGATTCCCCAAATGGGTACAATATGGTAGGCCCATTTCTGGCGTCCCCTGCCGTGATATTGCTGGATTATTGCTAAAAGCAGTGTAAAACTAAACTCACTCACTCCTAAGATAAAACATTGTTGATTGTGGTATTATACCCCTCAGCCTTAAGAGAATACATTGTTGATTGTGGTATACTACCCCAAAATCATAAGATAAAACATTATTGTGTGTGGTATAATACCCATCAGCCTTAAGATAAAACATTATTGTGTGTGGTATAATACCCATCAGCCTTAAGATAAAACATTATTGTGTGTGGTATAATACCCATCAGCCTTAAGATAAAACATTATTGTGTGTGGTATAATACCCATCAGCCTTAAGATAAAACATTATTGTTTGTGGTATAATACCCATCAGCCTTAAGATAAAACATTATTGTGTGTGGTATACCATCAGCCTTAAGAGAATACACTGATGTTCATGAAATACTCCCCCTCGGTCATAAGATTATTTTATTCTGACTGTATAATACACCTCACAAACAAGATAATACATTCTTGATGAAGTTCAAATCTTATAAAATACACTGTGCAACACTTGATCTTACTGCCGAAAGCTTTCACTTCCTCCCCCTTTTAACTCAACAGATATTATCAATTCTAATTCAACTTAGTATGTAACATGAGTTCTGATTGGTCAATGCTACAAATTTCCGACCGTATAATCAGCATATACGGATGCAATTTGAAAACCGATTCACCAAAACCTTTGAATGTATCCCTACACTATTGGGGTAACGCTGTTTCGCTGTTTCATTTGCAGAAGCCATAGGTCAATTAACTCCGCTATCCAGCTAAAATGGGTGGAATTTGTGTTAAAAAAGACAAGACAGTATCATAAATTTAATTTGAAGTTCAAACAACTTACTCGCAACGGGCTGTTGACCCAACACTGTTAGATCATGAAACAAGATTTATGACGTCATTATGGAGCGTGACGTCACCTGTTGTGACGTCATTTGACAACAGAACTGATAATGGCCCATAGTTGAGGAATCAGCGGGCCGCTCATTTCTGTAACTAGAGGGCGGTTTCATCATAATTCCGTCCATTTTATCTACACTATGATCTATTCATCATTGTCAGATTTAGTTTGTGTGCACATAATAAACGTGTATAGTTTGAAAAGGGAGCTACTTTTTCTGGTGATGGTGTAAGTTCAAGGAGTGATATGATTAACCTTTGACGTAGAGAAACTTTGACCTGGTTTAAATAATGAATTTCTTTCACGGAAAAAAACCAGCGTAAAATAAGTTGAATTAGAATGGGGATAACTGTACTGTGTTTGACGAATTGGGGACGTATACCGGTGCTTGCGCGTCACCGATATAACTAAATTTGCGGCTATATAACCACCGGTATACGTCCCCAATTCGTCAAAGTACAGTTATCGCCTTTATAACAAATGCTCTAAAAAACATTCACAGATATGTTACCCTTGATTCCTGTCAAGAAAATGCCAATGAAATGTAACATGATACAAAATGTCCCACGGAATCATACATCAGCCAAACCAGGATAAATAATTGATGCTGAATAAGTGAGATGGCCATTCTCCCAGACCTGAAGTGCCACATGCTAACATTCCACAGAACAAAGTGAGCGTAATGATGTACAACAGGATAGATATAGGTAGTGGGCAGCCAGTCACAGCCACACCAACATTCCTGACCTTGGGCAGGCAAAATTTCTGTCAATGTTGGGTTCTCAGGAAAACTGCCGATAACTACAACACAGTGAGTGAGTTGTTGAATGAGTGGTTGAGTAAGTGAGTGAGTAAAGTTTTATGCTGCTCTCAGCAATATTTCAGTTATATGACAGCGGTCTGTAAATAATCGAGTCTGGACCAGAAAATCCAGTGTTCAACAGCATGAGCATCGATCTGCACAATTGTGATACAATGGCATGTGGTCAACTAAGTCAGCGAGCCTGCCCACCCGATCCTGTTAGTCGCCTCTTACGACAAGCATGGGTTACTGAAGACCAATTGTAACCCGGAGTGAGTGAGTGAGTGAGTGAGTGAGTGAGTGAGTGAGTGAGTGAGTGAGTAATGCCAAGTCAGCAATTTCACAGCTATTTGTGGCGATCAAGACAGCTTGAAGAACACTGAACCAAGTTGAATGCTTGTGTGTATTCATGCACTGAGGGTGAGCGAGTGAGTAAGTGTGTATGGTGTTAACCACAAGGCTACCCCACCGCCCCATACACTGATGTTAGTTCATGAGATCATAGACTGATTTGACTAATCACATAACAGCTGCCACAAAACTGTGGCTTGCTGCATAAAACAATATTCATTTACTCATGTTTAGACAAATGAGGTTACTGATAAAATATTTAATTGACGTGTCAAAATAAGAAAATCAGGTGGGTCTACAGTTCACAACTTCAATATAAAACCAGCTTAAGGATTTACAGTAATACTTTTAAAATATTCAATTTCCACACATTCAGATAAATTCCACTCAGATAAATCTGTTGATTACAAATACAGCATTTAAAGGTGCATTTGTAAATTTACCCTTTCATCACTTAATTGAATATAAAAGGCAATTAATTAACACTTTTGGCCCTGGGTCAACAGGGCTGACAGAGATGTCATAAAATCAATGAGGCCTCCACACAAGATGATTAACCATGTATTGCCTGTGGTTTTCCCAGTCTTCAACACGGTCGTGATCAGGAATTGGCAGAACCGTCAATACAAATCAGACTTTCTCTCTTTCACCCATTATCCACAAATAAACAGTGAGTGTCAGTTAGGCATATGTAGGCCTCGTAATGACGTACTTAACATCCACTCTACCCAATGGTGTTAGTCTTGAGTTGACGTCTGCTACTGCAGTCTTGTCACCAGTGAAAACAATCTGGAGGACAGGAGGGGGCATGAAGTGTAGCAGCGGAGGGGGACAGGGGCATGGGGTTGACGTCTGCTACTGTAGTTTTGTCACCAGTGTAAATCATCTGGAGGACAGGAGGGGACATGAAGTGTAGCAGCGGAGGGGGACAGGGGCATGGGGTTGACGTCTGCTACTGTAGTTTTGTCACCAGTGTAAATCATCTGGAGGACAGGAGGGGACATGAAGTGTAGCAGCGGAGGGGGACAGGGGCATGGGGTTGACGTCTGCTACTGTAGTTTTGTCACCAGTGTAAATCATCTGGAGGACAGGAGTGGACATGAAGTGTAGCAGTGGAGGGGACAGGGGCATGGGGTTTACATCTGCTACTGTAGTTCTGTCACCAGTGTAAATCATCTGGAGGACAGGAGGGGACACGAAGTGTAGCAGCGGAGGGGGACAGGGGCATGGAGTTGACGTCTGCTACTGTAGTTCTGTCACCAGTGTAAATCATCTGGAGGACAGGAGTGGACATGAAGTGTAGCCAGCGGAGGGGACAGGGGCATGGAGTTGACGTCTGCTACTGTAGTCTTGTCACCAGTGTAAATCATCTGGAGGACAGGAGGGGACATGAAGTGTAGCAGCGGAGGGGGACGAGGCATGGGGTTGACGTCTGCTACTGTAGTCTGCACCAGAGTATATATATATAAAAAAGAAACAATAATGTGTGCTGCAGCAATCTTGTTACCAGCAGGATTGTGGACATTGATGTGACTGCGATTTATCAAGGATTGAAGGCTTTGGCTTGCAAATTGGGAAAAATATTGTGATATCATCCAAAATAAAAATTCTGTTATGTACTTGGTTTAATAAATTTTGAGAAAGTAGTAAATGTTTCATGAAAACAGTGACTGTTTCCTGTTTAGGCAGGTCTAACAATATCCCTGAGTGACACCTGGTCCAGTAGTCTTTTGTGACCAATGTATGTCACCTGGAGGGAAAGATGGGACGGGGGCAGATGGATGATGGCATGACACGAGGTCTGCTTCTGTCATCAGTTTATATATCATCTGGAAGACAGGAATTGAAATAAGGAGCAGCCGGATGAAGGAGCAAGGGCTCATGATGAAGCTTTTGTAGACATTACAAAATGTAAGTCTTCTCATTAGTGCCACATCTTGCACATGGATGGAATCATGGTTTCTTCAACGATGTACAGGTTGGTTTTGTCAGAATGTCTTGCTAATGTCCATTCCTAAATTACATGAATTCTTGACTTTTGGTGGTGAGTGTATGACTCAGAGATAAACTGCGGGTCCACTAAGTCAACAACTCAGAGGTGAACACACAGCTGGATATGGGGTCAACAACTCACAGATTTACAGGCAGACAACTGAGAGATGACAGAGAACATATCCACCTGGATCTTCATCAGGCCTGAGAGACACAGATCCATGTCTGTCATAAAGACAGGTGGTGAGGTGAGGTGAGGTGAGGTGAGGTGAGGTGAGGTTACGTGTGACTCTCATCACTGAACCCTGATGCAAGTGAATTGTTGCTCATGCATTGTGATCAAACAGTGAAGTGTGCATGTCCCTGACAAAAATTGTTCAGTCCTCGACCCACTCACTCAGCTTAAAAACAGATAACATTAAAACTTTGAAAACTATTGTAACTTATTGCTGTAGAGTTTCTGAATTTATGGTCCAGTAAAAATCACAACAAATGTGATGTGAATGAAGAATAGTATCAGTCATCTTGACTTCAAGTAAAAAGGTGATTTCGTAAAAGAAAACTAAAACAGATGCTGAATAATTATTAGCTGAAATACGATCAATACACTGATAATACCTTCATATCACTGGCATACATGTCAATATCGTCTATAATGACCACATCCGGGAGACAACTTGTCATGTGTATGTTTGCACACCAGCCAATCAGCTCACTCGCATCAGAAAGGTATCTGCAACATAGCATGAAAAACAGGTAAACCATTGCTGTTGTACAAAAGCAATCATAGGGCTAAGGTTATCGTAACCCTTTTACTTTAACAGAGATTGTCACTAATCTTAGCAATAAAGCTGTTTACTACAATGGCACCCAGGGGCTGTTAGCTTCCAATTGCTTGACAATCAACAAATCCATAGATAAGGACAAACTTTTATGGATGAACATCTTCTTTAGTCATGAAATTATCAATTTCAGGATTTCAAATCCAAAGCCTTGCCAATAATTCCACACAAATAAAGACTGGTCAAGGAGAGACTACAGGAAATGGAAACATATTTGATATTTGGTATAGTCCGTTTGGCTCAAAAGCGGACTGATGAATTGCAATCTAACTCGAAAACTAAAAAGCATATAATACTTATTGAAATGCTGATCATAATCAAAACATCAGACCAACCCTGCGGGGTTTTTTAACAGAATTTATGTCCTAAAAAAAAAAAGTTTAACAAACTATCATTAAAATTTTGACACAGTTCACCATTTGTTACACCATTTGTTCGCACACCTGGCTCTTCCACTCTTTGCATTCCTCCCTCGTAACAAGTAGTGAACTGTGTAAATATTTTAATGTTAGCTTGTTAAACAACTTTTTTATTTTTAGGACATAAATTCTGCAACAAAATCACAGAGTTGGTCTGATGTTTTGATTATGATCAGCGTTTCATTGAGGATTATATGTTTTTTTGGTTTTCGAGTTAGATTGCATTTCATCGGTCCGCTTTTGAGCCAAACTGACTATAACAGTAGCAAGTTTTATTTAGTTGTTAAGAACCTTCTGACCCTGTCGTTTAACTCGAGCTTAATCATCGTGCATACTGGAGTTTACAGTTAATGACAACACCTAGTATTATTTAGAGACAATGTGTCAGTGCCACATCTACCTCCAATTTCAATGTTAGACCTCTACAAGAAATGTCTAAAGCATCATCTATCTTCCAGACAAACTCAAGTGGCACAAATGAATTGATTAACATGTAATCATGAAGACATTTCAGTTACGTTGTCCTTGGAAAAATTCAAAATTAACTTGTCGGACACCTTTTTCATTGGGTGTTTCAAGAAGGAAATGATATGCTTTCTCCTAACCTTGTTCCAATAGCAAAAAACCATCTCAGCCCTAAGCTGATCACTAATTTGCTACACTGATCATAATTTCCTTAGATGATTGTAATTTCCACAACCTATGACAGTCTGAGTGCTAAGTTTTCTTTGTGGAAAAGGGCCCTAGCTTCTCTCTGAAATAACATTATTCTTCGTTGCTATTTCAATGAGTATGACATCCAGACGGGCAGTGTGTGGCCACACCAGCTACCTCAGCGGGCAGACATTGTTGGTAGTACATCAAGCTTCATCACGTCACAAGCTGGGCTCTATGTATTCCCAGCCTCTTGCTCAGGGCTTAGTCACCACCTTATTTAATTGTTCGTGTGGAGAAATAGAACAATCACAAACAATTATTGATCTATTTGAGGCCTCGGATTATTGATATGAACAGGGCATTGAACATCAACTCTCTGCAAGCGAGTTCTTGCCCTGAAGTACCTCTTACTGTGTAAGTGAGTGCTTGTCTTACAAAGCTGGCAACACATTTCTGCTGTATCTGTGCTTGACAGATGTGTTGGTAACTTTCAGATTTATTCTTAGTCTCAAAAGTAATCAATATTCAATTAATTATCAATCATGATTGAAAATAGAAAAATCCAAGATGTATCATGCCTGGCTCGTCCAAGCATGGCATAAGCCTGTAGGGCAAGAAGGGTTTATCATTTGAATTGTCTGTCAGCAAGTTATAATAAAAATTCTTCACAAAACTTAAATGAATCATCATCCAAACATACAAAAAATTGAAGCCAATGAACTTATTTCCTGGCATGAAAATTTCAATTTGAGGATTATTTAAAGAAGATTATTTCATTTAACTGGGTCAGAAGTTAGGATGGAATTACTTTTCAACAAACACATGCTATGACCCCATGTTTGCTGTGAGTGGACACATCGCAGGTAGTGACATAGTCCACCGATGTTTAATAAAAGTGTGGATCATATGAACAATTCATTTGATATTAATCAGCTGGTATATTATTCAAACTGGTCTCTTGATGGAGAAGAGTATGGGGTCAACATTACAGCCTTATTACAGTTATCATGTCTGGACCAGATAAACGTGTGGTTGATATTGTCAGCATCAATATATGAAGTACAGTTCTATATTCTAAATGGAAGTTTTTCATTCATTCTACAAGACCATCAGAGTTCATCATGACCAATACCTAATATTCTCTCCACTCTACTGACAACTTTAAATTTGAGCAAACATCATTAGACATATTATCATTCAAAAGACAATATCAGGGGTTGGAAAACTGTCCAATAAATTCCTTTTTTAAAGAATTTATTGTTCTGTTGAATCTGCAAGCGATAAGGAACAGAGTATTTTATATCCTGTTAAAATCCTATGAACCATGTGTGTACTGTATGTGTTTAACATGGTAATTAACTTGACTTGGTTTATCATCACAATTGTTTATTAGGAGTCAGATCAGGGGTGGAAATAACCCATTGATCGACGTCCGAGTCCAGTGTTTTTTTCTGTCGGGCAAGCAAATTTGTATATCACACTGTACCGGTGTCCAGTTGATTTTCCAATGTTAATTATGTTTGTTTGTTTTTTTTTAAATCAACAAGAAAACGGTTGGTATAGTGGAAAAATTATCAGGGCAAGTGATTTTACATGTGCCACTGTACCGGAGTACAGTAGCAATTTTAAAGTGATTTCCACCCCTGCAGATATCAACTTATCACCACATATTTCTTAACAAGGACATGTACTGGTCTCAGGGAAATCTTACTCTTGAATCAACGGACATTCATCACAGATATTTTTCTTAGTAAGACCTTTTAAACACTGGTTTATTGACCCTAAAAATGGTAAGAAGTGGATAAAAACATAGCACTCTTCTTTTGCCACCACAGGAAAAATTGTGTTGGCCTCCAAACAATTTGTGCATCAAACTTAAAAGATGACATCTGATTTGCTTTTCATGTGTTAGTTAATTTTATGTTCCCATCCTTTGACGAAATTTTTTTACACAGAACCCAGTAAATAAAATATCTGTCTGAAAGACAACATACTTTCAACTTCCTCTCACTATTAGACAATGAGGATAATTTCCTTGTCATTACTATTACAAATAACAAACCATAAGTGGATTGATTACCCCGTAATTAGCAGTGTATGGCTGTGAAAGCTTGGTCCACAGTGTTGAGAGACTACCCAGTGATAAGGAGATAAATGACTTGGACAAGTCTCTGGCAGTACAATGAACTCTCCCTAGAAATGAGTCATCACTCCTCTGATAGTAAACACTATATGAAAGTAGTGGTCGCCAACATCAAACTAGGCAGCTGATATCTTTAAACTCAATTAAAATTATAGCCGAGTGTCCCACTTGTGGAATGAAGTTGAAGCAATTCAGGGACAGTCTTGTGAGACAATTCGTTATTGCATGTGACCAGTGACACTTAATGCATGCTTTGAGGATATTTCCAGGCAGGGCTGTAGGCCTACAGCAGGCACACTGTTAAATGCATGGATTATGGATTAAATCAACTTATACAGATTGTGTTTCACAGGTAAGGTTATTTTATTCAGGAATTAATGTAGTTGATGAAATAGAGACTATGACTGACAATATCTTTAATGAATTTATGAAAGTAATAAGAAAATAAGTTTGGCTTCTTAGAGGTTGAACAACAGGAAGAGTTCTGTGGATATACATCTTCTTTATTATTAATATGAGAGACGTTTCTAAATACCACTCAAAGAAGTTCTTAGAGGTTACCAACGTATCCATGTTGATTCTTCACAATTAATCAATGGTTTGCAAATTAACAACAGAAAATAATGGTAATAACATTTGTTTGATATAGCGTTTATGTGTTGAACTAAAATTAGAACTACAATTTAATTTACAATGATTGTGGAACAACATTTTTGGGATTTTTCCCCATAAAATTGGTTATTTGATGTGAAAGGCATGAATTAGTTCATGACAAACTTAACAGAATTGCAAAGAGTTCTTAACATCAAAATTGGATAATCAACAAATTTAATGTATTTATTATTCATTCATATTTCTGTTTCTAAGCAACATTTTTTGTTTCTGTTTGCCTCAATAAAACCTTTTTCCCATTCAAGCAAATGTTAATTTCCTATGAAGCAGGCAGTAGTAGAGATTTAGGTCAAGTTAGTGAGACTAACTTATCATAATCTTATTCAGTTGTACTTGGTGGTGACTCATTCGCCACACTGCTTGAGAAGGACGTCTTCGGTTTGATAAAACATACTTGTCTTCGCGAAATCTTTATGGCTTTTTTTCTCAAAATGTTTTTCATATTTATTAGACAAGAAGTGATAACATTTTTAAAAATCTTCCGTTCTAATAAAAAAGAAAATAATTTCTTTCCTCTTTCTTTCATCATCATGCTATAAATTTAGCAACTTACGATTACTGTAATGTTTTTACCCTACACTCATATCATACGTAGTTTCCCTAGACACTGTTGTTAAGAAACTATGAGTCAGTGAGTGAGTAAGCTAGAACTCTGTAAGGAATATCACAGCAGGCGACCGAGAAACGGGCAGTACTTTCTTGCTCTGCTGGGAATCAAACCCTTGTGTTTGATGTCTTGATTGAACTTTTCAGTCACTGGGCTACCTCCCTCATGTTCATGTCAAGGGAAAATAAGTAAGATTCATGGTGCATCCAAACATACTTGGAACACAGTGTTCAATATCATGATTGTTTTCGTGTAAAGTAAATACAGGCCCATGTTAAGTCTCCTAACAATTCTATATAGTTTAGTGCAATCATTCCCCATCAAAGTCAGTTCAGGTAAAACATATATTATTAAATGTTTTAAGTTAGTGAATGCACTATTTGTTGTTAAAGGTTCAATACATTTCAAACAAAAAGTGAATTGGATAAGGTTTGAACAAATACTCTGTTTCTTAAAATGCTGACAAATATATTTGTTCTGAGTTTACAACAAAACGAAAATGACTGGAATATGGCTGGTCTCTCACATGGAACACAAACCTTATAATGACTTGCATTCACAAGGTTGTTACCATGACAATCTGCCACCTTCTTGTTATCAACAGGTAGGAAATCATGTCAAGGAATGTTATAAGTTTATCATTGGCTTACATTCTAATGGAAGATTTCAAACTATATCAAGGTTGATGATAGTCTCAGTAGAGGGGATTATTGAGGGGGAAACAACTATTGTGATAGTCTATTGCAACATACTATTGCAACCAACTACTGCAATTCTATTGCAATAGTTTTTTTACTCCTTGAATTGTCTCATATGAAGTTATTTCCGAAATGAATGTATAGTTTATATGAAATAAAACAAGTTGAAGTAGTTTCAGTCTCTTTTAATAACTGACAAGAAACTTGAAACCCAGATCAAGAAAACAGTTAAAACATAACCTTATTGCTATTCACAATTTCAAATTCACGTGTTGCATGTAATGTTTGAGGCCCTTGTCTTGACCTTCAAAATGAAACAGGATCAGATAACTCTAAATCAAAGTGAACGAATCTGGTACTCCCTGTATTTTGCACAGCACATTTATCAACGGAAGTCAATTACTGAACTATCAATAGTTGAACATACTATTGAGGCATCGATAGTTTTTTGTTTCTACCATCGATTAATTGCTATCGGAGACTCGACAATTGCAATCCATCAATAATTCGATGCATCGTTACAGCACTAATTCTCAGACCCCCCAGTCTTGTTCTCCAGATATGAGCCTTAACTTGTGACTTATGTTTGGCCTTCACTAGGTGAGATTATTAACCCAAGGTGAAGGTTGTAGTCACAGAGTGCTATAGCTATATAGAAGGTTTCACACTAGATGTGATATTCTACTAGTTATTTCCCCATTAACTAGCTTGAATATTGACACTTTACTGCTTGAAACCTTATTAGAACAGTTATAGTTTCAAGTGAAGTTGCTTGTGACATGTACTCACTGAACATGATGAACTGTCTGTTAAAAATCATAAAGAACTAATTTGAATAACAAGCACAAATCATCCCTCTCAAAAATTCAAGATATTCCTGAATGCAATTGAACAAGATGGCCGCCAGACTAAGCTAAACCTGCCCTTCTGTGACGTTACTCGCCATCATCAAGGCATCTAACCTAAATTTTTAACTCTGCTTATTCAGAAATAATATTTATCAAAGTGTTCTCTAAATAATACAAGAGGCAGCAGGGTAGCCTAGTGGTTCAAGTGTTCACTTATCAGGCCGAAGGCCCAGGTTCGATTCCCCATCAGGGTACAATTTGTGAAGGCCATTTCTGGCAATACTGCAGCTATTTCAGGCTGGAATCTACCAGATGAGAAGAAGATACTGAAACACTTTTCACATATTAGCCAATGGCCCGCCATTGACCAAGCTGCAACTTGGAAGTGAGTTAGTTAGGTAATATTTATTGTCACATTCACAATATTTCAGCTATATCGTGACGAGAAGAATAAATGATCATATTCCAGATCTCAACTTATAGTACAATACTTCCATGTGATAGCTTCAGTGAAAAGGCATAATAAAAATCATAATAACAACATTATATAACTTAAAATAAAAGCCCAGATAATATTTTTAAAATATTTGACAGTGAATCTGACAAACAGTATGTGCAATAGTGTATAAACAAGATAGTACAAACACACTGCACATAAAACTTGAGAAATAGGGTACAACTCTTGCTGGCTTATTGTAACAAATCTATAACAGTTGACAAGACAGTACAGATTGTTGACATCGTAGTGCATCAGAATGTGACATGTTACTGAGCAGATTTAATTGTATCAAGTTAATCATGTATGCTGTGATCCACAATCCTAACTCTAGACACAAACAACATTCATAGAACTATCACCAATGGTGAACTGGCAAAGACATCCTTGTTATTTCCAGCATGGATGACTCACTGTAAGCCTGACCAGTATATGAAAATAACCCTTCTACATCCGCCAGACTCCGCGACACCTTGCAGTTTCATCAATCTCATTGGTCAATCCCAAAATGCGTCAATCAACTATTTTAAGTTTCCTAAAAAACCTGACTTGAATAAAGCCCGCCAAAATAACATGGCCTTCAGCTCTCTGCGAAACAATGGTCCATGAAAACATCTGTTCTCAGTTTATAACAACACAACAAAGGACCATATGATTTGAACATAATACTACAAAAAATTGCATCACTTCATGCTTCATGTGAGTTGGGTTTAATGATGCTTTGAAAGGCCATTAGAATGTTGAGATTATTCTACAGCAAACAGCAACCTGATTTGTTAAACAAAGACAGAGATAAAACAGAGAAAGAAATATCACTTGCACTTCTTCATTCCCCATGCACAGTAGTTATCCTAACTATAATCATATTATTCTTATAAAACTGTTTAGAGCTCATGTTCAAACCTGTTCAGGCTGGAAGGTTCTCGTTGTTAAGTCTCCATCATTGAAATCCATCTGTATATTATGAGTCACTGCTCACTTGTTTAAACCAAAAGGAATGAAAACTACATATTTCACTGACAAAATCTGACAATATTACAATCTGCTTTCAGTATTTTACCATTTCAGTTTTTGTTTGTTGTTAAATGCTGCCCTCAGCAATATTTCAGCTGTTTGGAGACAGTATTGTCTGTTAGAGACATGGGGGTGGTCATGTGGCTAAAGCACTACCTTGTCACACTGAAGATTCAAATTCATTCCCAATAATGTGTACAAAGCATGTTCTTGGTGTCAACGTGCATGGTATGATTGGAGTCAGACTATAAGACGCATAACAACCACTCTTGTAATCTGCTCCCTCTATGGAGATGAATAATTTCACGGTGTAACTTACAAAAACTTGACAGACTGCAGCACAGAAGGGTCTGGGGTGGGCATCCCATGCACCGGGAGGGGCAGGCGGGACAGTGGGTGGCGGCAGATGAAGGTCACGGTCAGGTTTTCAGTGGCATGTGTTACAGCACATTGAAACAGCAGGCTCGTCTTACCCCTGTGGAATACACAAATGTATCACATACACAACACCTGTACATGTCTTACCCCTGTGGAATACACATACATATCACATACACAACACTTGTACATGTCTTACCCCTGTGGAATACACATACATATCACATACACAACACCTGTACATGTCTTACCCCTGTGGAATACACATACATATCACATACACAACACCTGTACACGTCTTACTCCTGTGGAATACACATACATATCACATACACAACACCTGTACACGTCTTACCCCTGTGGAATACACATACATATCACATACACAACACCTGTACACGTCTTTCCCCTGTGGAATACACATACATATCACATACACAGCACCTGTACACGTCTTACCCCTGTGGAATATCACACATGCATACATATCACATACACAACACCTGTACATGTCTTTCCCTGTGGAATACACATACATATCACATACACAGCACCTGTACATGTCTTTACCTATGTGGAATACACATACATATCACATACACAACACCTGTACATGTCTTTACCCCTGTGGAATACACATACATATCACATACACAGCACCTGTACATGTACATGTCTTACTCCTGTGGAATACACATACATATCACATACACAACACCTGTACATGTCTTACTCCTGTGGAATACACATACATATCACATACACACATGTCACCTGTACATGTCTTACTCCTGTGGAATACACATACATATCACATACACAACACCTGTACATGTCTTACTCCTGTGGAATACACATACATATCACATACACAACACCTGTACATGTCTTACCCCTGTGGAATACACATACATATCACATACACAACACCTGTACATGTCTTACTCCTGTGGAATACACATACATATCACATACACAACACCTGTACATGTCTTACTCCTGTGGAATACACATACATATCACATACACAGCACCTGTACATGTCTTACTCCTGTGGAATACACATACATATCACATAGACAACACCTGTACATGTCTTACACAGCACCTGTGGAATACACATACATATCACATACACAGCACCTGTACATGTCGTGGAATACACATCACAACACCTGTACATGTCTTACCCCTGTGGAATACACATACACACCTGTACACCTGTACATGTACACATCCTGTGGAATACACATACACAGCACCTGTACACGCGTCTTACCCCTGTGGAATACACATACATATCACATACACAGCACCTGTACATACACTGTACCTCCTGTGGAATACACATACACATACACCTGTATCACATGTCTAATACATGGATACATATCACATACACAGCACCACAACACCTGTACATGTCTTTCCCCTGTGGAATACACACACATATCACATACACAGCACCTGTACATGTCTTACCCTGTGGAATCCACATACATATCACATACACAAATACACCTGTACATACATGTCTTACCCTGTGGAATACACATACATATCACATACACAGCACCTGTACATGTCTTACTCCTGTGGAATACACATACATATCACATACACAACACCTGTACATGTCTTACTCCTGTGGAATACACATACATATCACATACACAACACCTGTACATGTCTTACTCCTGTGGAATACACATACATATCACATACACAACACCTGTACATGTCTTACCCTGTGGAATACACATACATATCACATACACAGCACCTGTACATGTCTTACTCCTGTGGAATACACATACACAACACCTGTACATGTCTTACTCCTGTGGAATACACATACACAGCACCTGTACACGTCTTACTCCTGTGGAATACACATACATATCACATACACAACACCTGTACATGTCTTACTCCTGTGGAATACACATACATATCACATACACAACACCTGTACATGTCTTACCCCTGTGGAATACACATACATATCACATAGACAACACCTGTACATGTCTTACTCCTGTGGAATACACATACATATCACATAGACATGTACATGTCACTCCTGTGGAATACACATACTGTACATACACAGCACCTGTACATGTCTTACTCCTGTGGAATACACATACATATCACATAGACAACACCTGTACATGTCTTACTCCTGTGGAATACACATACATATCACATACACAGCACCTGTACATGTCTTACTCCTGTGGAATACACATACACAACACCTGTACATGTCTTACTCCTGTGGAATACACATACATATCACATACACAGCACCTGTACATGTCTTACCCCTGTGGAATACACATACATATCACATACACAGCACCTGTACATGTCTTACCCCTGTGGAATACACATACACAACACCTGTACATGTCTTACTCCTGTGGAATACACATACACAGCACCTGTACACGTCTTTCCCCTGTGGAATACACATACATATCACATACACAGCACCTGTACACGTCTTACCCCTGTGGAATACACATACATATCACATACACAACACCTGTACACGTCTTACCCCTGTGGAATCCACATACATATCACATACACAACACCTGTACATGTCTTACCCCTGTGGAATCCACATATCACATACACAACACCTGTACATGTCTTACTCCTGTGGATCACATACCTACTTTACATCACATACACATACACAGCACCTGTACATGTCTTACCCCTGTGGACACATACATATCACCCCTGTGGAATACACATACATATCACATACACAGCACCTGTACATGTCTTACTACTCCTGTGGAATCCACATACATATCACATACACAGCACCTGTACATGTCTTACCCTGTGGAATACACATACATATCACATACACAGCACCTGTACACGCCTTACCCTTACCCACTGTGGAATACACATACATATCACATACACAACACCTGTACATGTCTTACCCCTGTGGAATCCACATACATATCACATACACAGCACCTGTACACGTCTTACCCCTGTGGAATCCACATACATATCACATACACAACACCTGTACACGTCTTACCCCTGTGGAATCCACATATATATCACATAGACAACACCTGTATATGTCTTACCCCTGTGGAATCCACATACATATCACATACACAGCACCTGTACATGTCTTACTCCTGTGGAATCCACATACATATCACATACACAGCACCTGTACACGTCTTACCCCTGTGGAATACACATACACAACACCTGTACATGTCTTACTCCTGTGGAATACACATACATATCACATAGACAACACCTGTATATGTCTTACTCCTGTGGAATACACATACATATCACATACACAACACCTGTACACGTCTTACTCCTGTGGAATACACATACATATCACATACACAACACCTGTACATGTCTTTTGAGGAGCAGTACAGCCGACGGATAATGAAAAATGATATAGTGTTTCAAGTTCTTGGATATTTTCTCAATGAAAGTAAACCATGCTATCACAGATGTGTAAATGAGTATGTAAGCTCTTCAAAAATGAAAAAGATTGAAAAGATTCAATATCTTTATTAGACTGCAAGATGTATTGAATCGTCACATGGCGGAAGCCTGCGGTGGAGGTGCTATGCTGGTTGCATGGACCTCTGGGTAGGAGAGTGATACATTAACTCTTCTGCAGTGAATAATGCATAAAAACTGCTGTGTCTTTTACTGCTGATTAGATTACTGTTGGATTGTTTTGACATGTTAGACACTCGACACAACATACAAAGAGACACAAATTAGGACTTATCAGAAGAATTATTTGATAAATATCTGCTCAATGGTGTGAAAGTCCCAGTAGACGGAATCTAGGATGTACAAATATATTGACTATACAAAGAAAACTACAAATATCCAATTCTGTATTCAGAAACACCAGGTCAGGGACTAGAAACAGAGGATCACAAACTGATTTAATCAGCCAATAGCCAAGACCCTGTCAAACTCAACAAATTTGGCATATGGCTATAAGTCAAATTATCTTCTTGACCTACAAGTAAATTTCATTGATCCATCTAGAACTGACAAATAACTTGTACTTTTGCTGAAAACACCTCACATGGTACATGTGTTTTCACTAAATTTCAATGTGAAAACAAGTATTCAGCAAGTCAACGGTGCAGATTGAAGGGAGATAACTCTTCCAGTATCATATAACTTCACTGCTCACATTTAACACTTATGCCTGGAAGCATCTCAAACCATTTGAAGGATACCAAAATACATTTGTCTGAATTGATTCTTAAAGTACTAACAACTGGTGATCATGAAACAGAATTAAAGACAGTGGTCACAGGGTCAAGGTCAGTTCATTCAGGAATGATGTATTCATGTTATCGTATATCATTTGAGGTGAAGAGAAGGTTTATTGCACTTTCAAAGCTGAATGTGCATGTGTCTCCATGCATGGACAATGACCTAAAACTTAATATATACAAATAACACAAGCTCATTAGGTTAAAATCACTGAGAACAAATTGAAAATATTTTTCTATGTGATGTTACAACAGCACACAATACACCTGTAATAGGAAAATAAGAAAAAAAGAAAAGGAAAAAAAGAAAAAGGAAAAAAAAGAAATACTTTTTCATACTTAATTACGTGTGTATCTCATACTACATAATAATAAGCAAAATTTGGTACCAGATGATGGACAATTTAGCAGATTTAAATGAAGCACATTTTTCTGCTAAGTCACACACTGGCAAGTCATTTACTTAATTATGAAAAGTCTGATATTCTGGCCCACTGCAGTGAGGAAGTCTCGGATGGAAATGTCACTGTTGACCCATCCCTGGCACAGGTTCTTCAATCTTTTGTGGGAGGCAACTGCTTTGGCATTGGTTCGGGAAGGAGGTAGCTGACCAATGCTGATTTGTTGTAGAAGAGTGTCCACAAGGGCCTGGTCTTTTTGAAAGCAGGTTCCCTTGTACAATACCTACCATCACAGACCACAATCCAAGCTGGATACTCATGGTAATACCACTTCTTAAAATTTTGGTGAGTTTATTTTGCCAATTATACTCACAACTTCATAAAAATATGTGACATACACCAATTTCCCCCATTTATTTCTTTTTTCCCCTTACTTTTTTTCCTTTTTCTTTTTTTCCTTTCTTTTTTTCCTACATTCAATACACCTACACTCCATACTTTACATTATTGTATTGTCATTTATAGTTAAAATATTTTAGATTTAATTACTAGTTTTAAATTTATATCTGTAATAATCTAGTTGTTTTACTGTCCTTCGTTGGCAGGTTTTTAAAATTTACATTTAATTACTACAAATCTATAACTTGATTTAGTCACGATATGGCTGAAATACTGCCGATCTGATTTAAAATCTTAACTCACTCACTTGTACTTAACATTGTACAAAATGCATAAAAAGTTCATGAAACATGAAGTCAATAACGAAAACATTCAAACTTCTGATTCATTTACCAACATATATCAAGAGGGACAAGAGGATTTGCCTACAGAGGAAGAACAAACTTGTCATCATCTCTGAAGATCCTTCCAGGGTAGAGAATGCAGAGTCAGCCCATCTGAATATCCCTGTACAGCCTTAGTTGAGAAAACATCACTTCAACAGAACTTTTCGTAGTAAAGTCTTTAGACCACTCTGGTATTGTCCCTGGTATTATCCTTCCCAAGGTAAGTGATGAGGATGCGTACCTCAGGGCAAGGAGCCAAGGAATTCCAAATGAACCAACTGTTGACTTGGAGGAAGTCAGCTGTGAAGAAATACTAATGACTAAATCGAGTCCATCCAGTGTTTTCCAAATTCCTTCACTTCTGGGATAAAAGTAAACCGCCAAACTTGTGAGTGATCAGCAAAGACCCAGAAGCAAAGAAACTTCTGAAATGCTGGCATTATATAATCATGCAGAATGGAGTGGTCTATTCACAATCCTGAGAATAACAAGAGCATGAACTGAGTCATTGTTCCAGAGAAACTACTGACCAGAGTTCTGAGAGCTTGCCATGATGAAAATGGACACTTATTTAGAACCAGATGCCATTGTCTTACACGTCCATAACAGTTGAAAGCTACTGCCAGACATTTGAATGCTGCCTGTTAGGAAAGAATGGCTCAAATGTTAGAACAAGTTTGGGCCAAATAATTTCCAAATGACCACTGGAGATACTTGCTATGGATTTCACAGTACTGGAAAAAGGGACAAACAGATATGAAGATGTACTTGTTCTGACCAATTTCTTCACTTTGTTCACATAAGCTTTCCCAACCAAACATCAGCTCGCCAAGTCTGTAGCCAAGAAACCAGTGACGGAATGGTTTATCAAATCTGGAGTCTCTGATTGGCTACACAGCAGCCAATGGGGGTGTTTCGAAGACAACATTGTACATATAGACAAAACATAGACACCATTGCGTTGGTGTCCAACGGTACCCTCCATGACATGCTGAAAACACTGCAACTCAAACAAAAGATAAAATGGATAGTACTATTTCCTGAACTTGTCCCTCCCCATGTCAAGCGCCTTATCATCTCTTCTTTGGCAGAGATTCAAAGCTGCCCATGGATTTTGTCCTTGGCAATTCAAACACGGAATAATTACTGAACACCATGAAGAGCTTCAGGAAGCATATCACCAGGCCAGTAGAAGGATGGAAGAAGAAGTGTTAAAGAGACTGAAGACACTGAACGTAAATGCAGTGGACAAAGAAACCAAATGGCACCAAACCTTTAATGAAAAAATTTTAATTTTCATGCCAGACAAGATTTAGGATGCATGGAATGCAGAACCCTACAAGGTTCATAGGAGGGAAAGAATCCAGCATCTTCGCAGTGAATGGGAAAAAAAGGAAAACCTTCCATCTCAGAGACATTTTAGATTCTACACCTTTAATAGAAGACTTGGGATCCGCATAAATCATCATAGAAAGAGCTGAAGAGGATGTGGAAGAACTTAACACTCATCCAGAGGGAAATGGGAATCTTCTTTCCTGATGATCCTCCAGAGATCTTACTAGAAGCCTCGAGAGTGCACTCCTTCACCAGCCCATTCAACTGTATAAACATCTCCTCCTTTCTAAACTATCCCCCTTTGCTTTGTACACCTCTGGCTTCCACCTCTTTGCCCTTTCTAAGCTCACTGGCTTTATCAACTTACTGAATAGCCAGTTATCTTAATTACATTATTTTCTTTGTTACATTCAGTATATATACTTCCCTTCCACTTTATTTTACATTCCTGCTTGACAACAGTATAAGAATCTGAATCGAAATGTCACACTCACGAAATGAAGAAGTTGTTATCCAGAACGTTTGTCTATATTGTACTTCCAAATTTCTAAAATGTAATCTCTTAAAGTGCAAAATAATCCACTGCGTAATTCATTACAATCTCACCTGAACAAGAGTCACACAAACTAACTCCACTTACACGGTTGAAGGTCCAGTAACAATTACTCCTGCGGGCTTATCTTGGGCCATCTTCTTGATCAGGTCAAGGTCATTGTTGGCTGGTGTCATCCATGGTGATGTCATGGGAAACATCCGGAACAGTGCCATGTTTTAATCTGTCCACCTAGTTAAATAACATCTCATCTTTCTATTCAGGTTACTACATTAAAACTTATCACAAACATTTTGTAATTAACAAGTACTAAACTTAAAATAACTGCTGAAGAAATGCAAAGTAACAAAGACTACAATAATTTCTCCCACATAATAAATAAATGTATGTTTCTGTAAAAAAGATTAAACATCTTGCACTTTAATCTGACATGGTAGCTATTTATTCTCAAATAAACTGACCAAAACAACCTTTTATTAATTCCAAAGAAACACAAATATCAAGTGCAAGATATTTTTATTCTGACTATAGTTACAAAGGATAATTGGTTCTTAAAAACTGTTTGTAAGCCATTAATTAAAACCAGATGTGACCTTATAGCCATGGTGAATGAGTACTGAGTGAGATACATCAGTTACATCGTTGAAATGTCAGGTTACTTGGGGAAGAAAACCTTCAGTGGTCTAGGATCTAAACACCGACCCAATGTCTGCTGCCCTTGGCAACAAAAAAATTGTTATTTCTTCGTGTTTTTTCATTCACTGTAACCATTCAGCCACGTTTTCTGGTCAGATTTGTTGAAAATGTCTGCTTGGAACAGTATTTTTAAGAGAAAACCTTGAAAATGCTCAACTTATTCTAGCCACCATTGACACTGGACAACTGACGCAGGTGAGCAGCTAGTATGAATATCGTTCCCTGTAAATTAAGTAGTACACCCTTGGTGAAACCCTTCCGGGATAAATATGAACAGGGATTTGAACACAAGACCAATACATCATGACTGACACTCATAAACTGGAGGCAGCTGGATATGAGAACACAGTTTCACAACAAACATGGTTGATTGTGTGTCATCTTACACCAATCGTGGATTGTTGCTCATATTGGTCACTGGACGTCAAGAAAAAGTAAAATGTGCTTTCTGCATTTAATACAGGTTTTATATGCGAAGTACGACGGTTAGAATCTGTGTGATTGAAGGATCATAAATATAATCATACCTTAACAGCTGATTTACTGTGGCATTTTTTCACATTTTAGTTAACTAGAGACTGCGGTTTATGGTCTCCGGTTTGACTTGTCTTTGCTTCACACTGGGGATCACAAACGTCTTGAAGTTAAAAAACCCCATAAGACACCTTTGAAACATCACTTGCTTGATTACGGTGTTAATGTTTTTATTACCTACACCGAATCGACGCACTCATTGCGATAAAGAAGTTGACTACAGTATCCATAGAACTTGGTTTTCCTTCATCAATAACATGGATTAAAATACCATAAACATTGTGTACAACAACCTTTTTTACGTTCAGCTTTAACCTGTGAACTTGTTGTCAGCGATTATATGGAAGCAAACTCTGTTAATTATACATCACAAACATTCTAATTTCCCGCAAATAGGAATGCTTTTGCTTCCGGGAATCGTTTTGCTTCTTCCGGTGATTTGTCAAGCTAAAGACGTATGTTACGCGTGATTTCATTGGCTGGGGGTGAATCATGTTACTAAAATTAGCTAGTGACCTCATTCACGCGTACTCGGACCAGTGTTTGAAAATGGCAGTAGGATCTGTTTTGAAGATTTGTTACGTATATTTTATTAATCTCAGTGTGTCACAGCTACTCCAACAATAATCAGACACATCTGGAACACTAACATCAACGAGAACAGCCAGTGACAAGTTGGATATGTATGTTCCATAGGACCAAGACAACAACTTCACTAGAACCATGTTGAATCGTCTGTCAGCGACGTAAGTTATGTTAGTTCTGTTTGCGGTGAACGCGTGTGTTTTGGCCTAGTTCTTCCATGTCTGTCTTATCTTGCTGCTAATAGGCCTCAAGTTATATAATACTCTGTAGATGTCGTGTCGATAAGGTGATTGAATTCTGGTCGTTTATTTTGATGGGTAACTTATGCAGCTGACCGGCCAACACGTTGAATATATGGCAGTGTTTATACATGTGAGAAGTTTGACCTCTGTCGGTCACACGCATACAGTAAGGTATCGGGAACCACCCTGCACCTATGTGTATTCCAGGGTGTTACTTGAGAAGTAAAACCAATCAACACGCGTCCTGGACACTAAATTGGTTTGTATTATGTGAAACTGTTGCATAATCCACAGGTGTTGGGCAGACCGGAAGATACATTTCCAGTTATGATTATCAGGTGTTCAGTCATATGGCACACCAGATTTAGGACTGACAGCATGAGTCACCCTTACATATGGTAATTAAAATGTTCATACTTTTCTGATAAAGTTGATAAATTGTCATTTCAGGGTTAGTCAGGCAATTAGACCTGTCGTCTGTGTGTTAATAAATATGTGCCACACACTAAAGTATTAGAACAAGTTTGAGTCTTAACTGTCTCAAATCTGCAGGTAAAGTGTTAAAATAGCATACTTTGACTATCAAAACATAACATACTTTTACAAGTCAAATATGAATAAATGGAGTTCTCTGTATTTCAGCATAGCATCAACCATAACATGTTGTATGTGGTATATTCATTCAGCATTGTAATACTTATGAGTCAGATGTATTATGCAACTTGTATAAGGTTTTGTTTATATGACAATTAAGGATGGGACCCAGGGTTGTTTTTTCATGCTTGAAACCTATGGATAGGTGTCATATGGCTGTGGATGTGATTATAAGTACCCCGGTAAGAAGATCCTATTAAATTGATTTAATATTCAATAGACAATTAACAATATTAACGATAAGAGATATTTATTCAATTATTGTAGAGATGTGGAAAGTGTATAACTAAATAGTGAGTCACTGAAACAGTAAGATTGGACAATTATTGCACAATCTAACGAGCTAATGGATAAGAATGTATGAATCATCAGCATACAATTATTATGATGTTGACTGTGATAATGTTATGGTAATGCCTCTCAGTTTTGATGTACATTAATGATGTTGATGTATCTGAGGTGAGGTGAGGTGAAATTGGGTTTAACGTCGTGCTTGAGAATATTTCGCTCATATGACGACGTGCATGCGTGTGTATGTGTATGTGTGGCTGCTTGTACTAGCCAAGACTTGAGCTAGTTTTTTTATAGTGCTAGCCCACTGAGATACCATGCCGCAGTGAAGCATGAATACCCCACTCAGACACATTATACTGACTCTGAGCCGACCAGTCCTTGTTGTACCCTTTAATGCCGAGCGCCAGGCAGGGACCAACAAGTACCATATATTAACGTCTTTTGGTATGACGCGGTCAGGGATCGAATCCGCGACCTTCCGCTCTCCGGGCAGACGCTCTAACCACTACACCACGGAGGCGGTCTTGATGTATCTGAAGGTTTTTGACTCAAGTAGCTAATGTGAATAATTCTGTGGGTTTATTCTCTGCGTAATTTATCAATATGAAATGAAACTAAGCAAAGGACCTTGTGGTATTCTTAGTAAATCATGTAACCTTTGTTGAGGTAAGCCTGCTGTTTGATATGGACTATAGCTTTTGTTTATATCAGCTCAAGATATTTTAAGACCTCTTTATTCTTGGAGCCTCTAGATGTTTCCACTAAAACTTGCTATTTTTCATTTTTACATCATTTTTCGAATCATCAGTGAATTGAGAAACAAATTAAACATAATCATGATGTATGATTTAAGAAATTGGAAAATAACCAATAACATTATCAGTCATCAAGCACCAGTTATGATGAAATGGCATTTTGTATTCACAGTTGTAAAACTGTAAGTATTGATGAATACATCTGACACATTTCCACCAGACATGTTTCATGATGCAGTCACATACAAAAACATGATAGAAAAACTGTTAGTGGTACTCATTTCACCCTTTGTTTTGTAAAAGACAGCATTTGTGGGAACCTTACACTTGCAACAAGAGTGTGGTGCACCGATGATACATCTAGCTGTAATGATGAAGATAACTGGCATGTTGTAAATGGTAAAGTCAGTCTGTCATTAGTCATGGCTGTTGTGTATAGCCATACTTCCATTTGCACACATGTATGTCATTGGGTAAGTAGCACAAGTCTGGTTGGTATGTTTCCTAAACAGTTGGTTTGTTGTTGCCAAGAAAAACATTCCATATTTCCTTACTTGATTCATTGTGGAATTTGAGTCCAGGAAATGTTAAGCTCATGTCTCATGAGTGTATTTGTAGATATCTTCACAAACATTCAGATGTACAGCATTCTCATTGGAAGTGAATTGTAGATTGTTTTTGATAAATGTTTGTCTTGTGTTAAACATCGGGGATCTGTAGCCACCATTCCCATGACAATGTTTCTTGGAAACATTTTGAAATTGAAGAATTTCAAGAAGTCCTTTTTGGTGTGACTAGACTTGGCCATGCTAGTGCTTGTTTCTAAGGCGATAATGTAGCATCCAGCTTATACTGAGACTAAAGTCCTTCTGTTAATGTTGATATAAATGTCAATAAAATGGAGTAAACTATGATAAATGAAAACAACAGTAACTTTTCGTATGCGTCATCTAATCTAAGTCTATGTCAGGGGTTGAACTATATTGCCAATGCCAAGCTAATGGTTTCATCATTGCCAAGTGGGATGGGAGTTCTATATCAGTCTAATTGCAGATGGTTTGTTTGAAGTCAGGAATAGCCCAGGTTTTGCCTCAGTCTGGGGTTGCATCATCTCCTGCCAGGTGCTAACATAGATAATTAGATATTATTATTGAAAACACTCGGTAACAAGATAACATAGTAGTTCTAAATCTGTATATGATTTCTGAAAATATCAATATTAAAGCCAATTTTGTTCAAAACATGGATTTTTAATTTGAGTGTGTGATGTCCAAAAAACTGAAGTGAACATGTGATTGTTGTTTCATGACTCTTTTAACAAGATTACAGCAATATCAGTCTGAAGGAATTCATTTCACTTTTGTAAAAGCTGAAGGAACCATATAGGTAATAAGATTGTATTACTAAAGAATATATCCAATTCTGATCAACTGTCTAAATTACTATCACTCTAAATGAGGGCTCAGGTCTTTGACATATATGTATAATGTACTGATAAGCTGAAAGTGGGAATGCCATGATGTAATGAAAATGCATATTAAAAAGTGGCAAAACAATCATCAACAGAGCATGGGGTGATCAGCTGGCGCTAGACATGCCTCATCCTTGCCCCAGTATTGGTAAATACAGACTGTTTAATCCATGAATATGTTATTCTCATAGTTTCATTGAATGTTGTTTAATGGATGTTTTTGACAGTAACCGTGTAAGCAGCCAGGACATGTTACTAATGGACAGATTCCTTTCATATGGAGAAATACACGATGACAAACATCTGCATTAGAGGTTGGATTAACCAAAATGAAAATCCTTAGTGATAACCAGCACTTACTGCCAGGGGTTACACTTCTTTGTGATGCTTTAGGCACGGCACAGTATATGTTAGGGAAACATTTCCATTGTCACAATTCAAAGGAAATGGAGAGTATCCGTATAGAAACGTATATGCAGCAGACCTGAGTAAATTGATAAAGGATTGACTCTATCTCTTGTATAGAGAAAATAGTATTGTACTATTTATGTTCATACAATTTACATGGTCTCCTGCGTGAAAGGAACTATGAAGATCCAGGGGTCTTCATCATCACTTGTTATGACTGATAAAGGTTACCCACAGGGAGAAAATGTCATGGTCACATCTCTGCAATCTTCTCCCCTCCTTTGTTTTTTTTTAAGTGTCACCTGTTTAAAATGGACTGTGAAGATGCAGGGGTCTTCATCATAACTAATAAAGGTTACCCACAAGGGTAAAATGATAATATTATAATTGTGTCCTTTCTATTGTTACGAATGGTTTTGTTGCAGATGTAGGAATGTGGATTTGTAAAAAGACTTCTTTGAATAACTGAAGAACATTTGTGGTTGTATGAAACATTCTCATATTGAATTAACAGTTTTTACTTGCTTCATTTACAAGTGTTAGATGAGTCTTCTGTAGAGCTGAATGCAAAATATATTTTTTAAGAAGCTATAAAAAAACACTGAGCTGAAATGGGAGAGAAAATTTCAGTTTCAACAAGTTGTGTTCTCAACAGTTGAAGCTGGCACTGTGGTTAATCGTTTGCTCATCATGTCAAAGACCCAGGTTCGATTCCCAACATGAGTAGAATGGATGGATCCCACTTCTGATGTCCCACTCTGTGATGTTGCCGGAATATTACTAAGATCGGCATAAAACATTACTTATTTATTCACTCTGACTCTCTGGACTGGCTAACACAATACCAGTGAAAGCGTAATGTGCTCTGAATGGGTTCTTTAAGGTGTTGTGAACTTAACTGAAGCTTCAAGCCTCAATACATGTTCAAATAAGATTCAGTGTGAAAGCACATAGGTTTATACAAGGGACAATCAGTTATGACTCATGTCCCTGTGATCATATCAGTGATTGTCAGGGAGAGTCAACACACCTGGTGATTTTGTAATTTGTAGGAACCTTGCTTGCCCTAGTCATTGTGTCACAGGTGTTTGGATCTCACTAAGTGATGGATGAAGTCATATTGTTACCTGTAGATCACTACTGCAGTGATTTAGCTCACGATGCTTGATACCATGTTGAACTGAGTAGGCCCTGGGGTGGTTTGATGTCATGTGTACATAGGTAAAACAGGTTGAAGTATGAATCAATTAGGGGTTTGTCACCTTGGTTGTAAGTGTCTCATGTGAAAATGTTAGTCTAAATGTGTCAAGTTCATATTTTTAAATATATGTGTCCAACTTTGAAGAAAAGAAATGTGACCGATATCATAAAGAAACAAACATATATATTGCATATCATTTATCATGTTTATTGTCTTCAGTTTTTGTGTGACAGGGAGGAGACATGTATGTGTGTGTGTGTGTGTGCGTGCATGTGTGTGTGAGATAGAATCATGAATGCCAAAGTGTGGCTGATCATATTTGTGGATTTTGTGGATAGGTGTCATTACGAGTGTGAGCAGTGACTCTTGTCAAAGGTACCTTCGTTCATTCCTGATCCTGTTGTGTTCCAACAGAATTCTCAACAAATGAGTAATGGCCCCCACATTGTGTTCTCTCTCTCTTTACACATTGTAGCCAACCTCCGCCACTGTCATGACTGTGTGCAAACAACTGAATGGTGCTGACAGAAGGGATTTTTGTGTTTTGTGAATCACTGGGCAGTGTATTTGGATCAGTCTCAGGTGCCTGTACCTGTACCTCACTGGCCCGCTCCTCCCCTCCCCATGTTAAACACCGCCATCACATGGGGGAGCTGTCCTCGCTTGTCACTTATATTCTGTACCTCACAGATTTCTATGTACTTTACTGAATCATTATATTTGGCAATAGTATGAGATTCGGTTGACAAGGTCAGGGTTAGAGGCTGGGGTGAAGCACAGATGGCATATCGCTGTGACATGTTCCAAGGAATATTGGTGCAGGTATTTCATAGGTCTCTATGCAAGCAAGATTCATGCATGTTGTACTGTTTGCTCTCATACGTGCTGAAGAGCTGTTAGCTATGACAGAAGGATAGATTGTCATGATTTTGCAAAATATACATGTTAGGAAATAATCTGGCTGTACACTATATACCATTTACCTTTGAGTAAATATATGATATATTTTGTGATTCTAAATAATTTGTGATTCCACTGGATAAAGAAAATATTTTCTGTATTTGCTTGAGAGTGATTTATCTATATTGAAAGTACACAAATACTTATATGATGTCCTTTGAAACACCTTCTCTCATGTTGAATCATCACACAGCTGACAGTATAGTAGTTATGTGATAGAAACACTGTGACTCAGCCTGGTTTGTGTTGTTACCATGGTTTCTTGCTAATTTTTGTGTCCATATTTTAGGAGAAAGTTAATTGTAATGGATAGTTGTTAAGTGTTAAGAACATTGTAAGAAATATTATCTCATCCCTATTTCGCTCACTGGAAATACAAACGATGCCAATGTTATATTGCTGAAATATTCCTAAAAGAAGAGTGAAAGTCACCTCACTCACTCACGGAGTTACACACTAACAGGCTGCATGTTGTGACACATTCAATTGTTTCTTCAGACTGACCATGCCTGGAGCATGCTGTAAGACAGGCCCAACCCCTCTCCCTGTGGCTCCACCCCAGAGGTTCTATACAACACCCTGGTACGTCCTGGACAGAAGCATGTGATGGAAGGAGTACATACGGACCATGTCAGGAGACACTTGTGTTCCTATTAAGGGTTTTAAATTCAAAGTTTCTGTGATACATTAAGGATATACTGTTAATCATGGCCCTGATTATGGACACGAGTGAGATCCCCTGTGATCCCTCCATGGTGGACGAGAATGGTAACGGTCTTCCATGGGGACTTACAGACCATAATGGGCTGGTTGATGTGCTCAAGAAAAGATGTGAGAAGGTAAGTAAAATATTATGGTATATTTTCCATTTTTAATACACTGTACCTTCATAACTGAGCAGCCAAAACAATGCACCATCATGACTCACTTACTGTACCCAAGACAACGTATTATCATGATTCACTGTCTGTACCCAAGACAATGTACCATCATGATTCACTTACTGTACCCAAGACAACGTACCATCATGACTCACTGACTGTACCCAATACAATGTACCATCATGATTCACTGACTGTACCCAAGACAATGTACCATCATGACTCACTGACTGTACCCAAGACAATGTACCATCATGACTCACTGTACCCAATACAATGTACCATCATGACTCACTGTACCCAAGACAATCGTACCATGACAACTGTACCCAAGACAATGTACCATCATGACTCACTTACTGTACCCAATACAATGTACCATCATGACTCACTTACTGTACCCAATACAATGTACCATCATGACTCACTTACTGTACCCAATACAATGTACCATCATGACTCACTGTACCCAATACAATGTACCATCATGACTCACTGACTGTACTGTACCAAAGACAATGTACCATCATGACTCACTTACTGTACCCAATCCAATGTACCATCATGACTCACTGACTGTATCCAAGACAACGTACCATCATGACTGACTGACTGTACCAAAGACAATAATTTAAGATTTTTACTAATGACTCAGAAAGAAAAGGTGTAAGGGCAAACATAACATGCCATGTTGTGAAATCTGGAGTCAGAAATAATTCGGTACCTAGTATTAATCTCCTTTGTTTTTGTGCTGTCAACAAATGTTTCTTTCAGTTGAAACTTGTGTAAAAAAGAGACTTTTATCGTAGGAAATTGAATTTATTGTACAATAAATGTTCTGTTTTTACCCATTTAATGGCTATGCTTACTTTAGACATTAATCAATAGCTAACAGTCATCATATTCATGGTATGCCAGACTTGTTGGAGTTCATGATTCATGCAGAAGCTTTCACATTCTCCCCACCAACACAACTGCAAATCAGTTACAGGCAGTTACACAAATTCACAATGACTATGAAGAGTGTATGGCTGCTGGGGCAAAAAGTATCAGTCATGTCTAAAATTGGTTTATCTCATCATTCTTGAGAAACACTGACTGTACCAGTGGTGTAGGGATGAATAACACTCACGTAGATCAGTGATAGTAGACAACCACAGGAATGCCCATTTGCTCAGGCTAGTGCTGTGTGTTGTCTGGGCTCGGATCTGTAGTGTTAGTCACTGGATACCACACAGCTGGTACTGCAGGGACCATCTGGCAGACTTACACCATAGGCAGCTCAATTCAGTAAGTTACCCCATACCAAAGGGAATGCCTGTGTATGGTCTGAGCAAATTGGATTATGGTATCCTGTATTTTGGGGAGGGTCTGTACACATTGGGTTAAGGTACCCTGTGTCCTGGGGAGGGTCTGTACACATTGGGTTAAGGTACCCTGTGTCCTGGGGAGGGTCAGTGTATGGTCTGTACACTTGGGGTTAAGGTACCCTGTGTCCTGGGGAAGGTCAGTGTATGGTCTGGACACATTGGGTTAAGGTACCCTGGGGAAGGTCAGTGTATGGTCTGTACACATTGGGTTAAGGTACCCTGTATCCTGGGGAAGGTCAGTGTATGGTCTGTACACATTGGGTTAAGGTACCCTGTACCCTGGGGAAGGTCAGTGTATGGTCCTACACATTGGGTTAAGGTCAGTATCCTGGGGAAGGTCAGTGTGGTCTGTACACATTGGGTTAAGGTACCCTGTATCCTGGGGAAGGTCAGTGTATGGTCTGTACACATTGGGTTAAGGTACCCTGTATCCTGGGGAAGGTCAGTGTATGGTCTGGACACCCTGGATTAAGTTACCCTGGGGAAGGTCAGTGTATGGTCTGTACACATTGGGTTAAGGTACCCTGTATCCTGGGGAGGGTCAGTGTATGGTCTGTACACATTGGGTTAAGGTACCCTGTATCCTGGGGAAGGTCAGTGTATGGTCTGTACACATTGGGTTAAGGTACCCTGTGTCCTGGGGAAGGTCAGTGTATGGTCTGTACACATTGGGTTAAGGTACCCTGTACCCTGGGGAAGGTCAGTGTATGGTCTGTACACTTGGGGTTAAGGTACCCTGTGCCCTGGGGAGGGTCAGTGTATGGTCTGGACACATTGGGTTAAGGTACCCTGTATGCTGTACACATTGGGGTACCCTGTACCCTGGGAAGGTCAGTGTATGGTCTGGACACATTGGGTTAAGGTACCCTGTGAGTCCTGGGGAAGGTGTATGTATGGTCTGTACACATTGGGTTAAGGTACCCTGTGCCCTGGGGAGGGTCAGTGTATGGTCTGTACACATTGGGTTAAGGTACCCTGGGGAGGGTCAGTGTATGGTCTGTACACATTGGGTTTACCCTGTTACCCTGTACACTGGGGTTAGGGTCAGTCTGTACACATTGGGTTAAGGTACCCTGTGCCCTGGGAGGGTCTGTACACATTGGGGTTAAGGTACCCTGTGCCCTGGGGAAGGTCAGTGTATGGTCTGTACACATTGGGTTAAGGTACCCTGTACCCTGGGAAGGTCAGTGTATGGTCTGTACACATTGGGTTAAGGTACCCTGTGCCCTGGGGAGGGTCAGTGTATGGTCTGTACACATTGGGTTAAGGTACCCTGTACCCTGGGGAGGGTCAGTGTATGGTCTGTACACATTGGGTTAAGGTACCCTGGGGAGGGTCAGTGTATGGTCTGTACACATTGGGTTAAGGTACCTGGGAGGGCCTGTGGATGGGTATACATTGGGTGGTACAGTGTAGTGGTGGTCTGTACACATTGGGTTAAGGTACCCTGGGGGAGGGTCAGTGTCTGGACACATTGGGTTAAGGTACCCTGGGGAGGGTCAGTGTATGGTCTGTACACATTGGGTTAAGGTACCCTGTGCCCTGGGGAGGGTCAGTGTATGGTCTGGACACCCTGGGTTTAAAGTACCTTGTGCCTCATGTGTAGGCATGCCATCATTACTTTTAATAGGTAACAATGTTTAGGAAAAAACACATCAGTTTATAGAATATGGCAGGCACATAATGATTTCTTGCCTTCAAACTGTCACTACTTTGTTTTGAATAAACAAGTAATTTACATAAAGTAGTAACTTGAAATTGGAGGGAACACATACCCAACAGTGTATTTGTGTTTAAATTTGTACAATGAATACTATACCAGATGGGTCGGGTTAAGACGGTGTGATGAACATCAAGAATTTACACGTAGGTTGAGAATGCAATCTGTTTACCTGTCAGGTATACCTATCTGCCTTAGGAACTCAACTGTACTGCTCTACAAAGCTGTGAGATTCTATTCTGCATTACACATATCAACAGTGTCAAACTGTTGTACTTTTTATTAGGAAACACTTTGTAAAAAAAAGAAATCTTGTCGCAGATGACTTCTGAATCTTTGTTGTGAAAATTGTGAATGTGAAGACAAAGGTAGAAATTCTGGGTAGGAGGCATATCACGACGTGTTCAGCTTGGAGACCTTATTTCATAGTTTCATATGTGCTGGACCAATATTTAGAGATGGCATTGTTTACCTTTGTTCCACCAAATTACCAGTATGCTGCACTACACTTTTCCACCAATAAACGTTGCAATATCTTTTTCTGAGCACTGGTATATTGGGTAAAAAAGTGTTTTGTGATTATCTCCATGGTTTAATAAGTTTTAATCAACACAGACATTCATTCGGAACTAATGTTTCCCTTCAAACTTTACATGCTATAAATTGGGTCAAAAAGAAAGAATCTCTAACTATCCATCCTAATTTTGAGATTGCTGTTGTCAGGACAACAATATTATTTTCAGGGCCTTAGCATGTAGAAAATAGAATCTGACATATAGGCCTTATTATTATAACACAGCCTTAAAAACGACTTTTCCAGTAACTTGTGTCATGTCAGTTATATACAGACTGAACATGTGGAATATGCTCCTTTGCGAACATGGAAAATCTTGTTTCCTGTTCAATGCTACAGTCAGCAATATGCTGTTATATGATGGGAGAATGTGAAAGAACAAACTACACAAACCATCCTGATACTGTGAGCCATAGCCTATGTCTTTGGAGATGGTAGAATACAATCATCTGGGTCACCAAGCCTGACAGTGGATCCATTGTTGCCTTGTTCAACAAGTTTAGGTTCCTTGTGACCTATTACTCACAGAGTACAAATCTGATGAACTGTATGAAAGCCAAAAGTTCCTTTTCATAAACGTTATGTAGAATGTAATGTCATGTATAATTTGGCATGAAATGCATGTGGACCCGTTTTTTTGTAAATATCTCTTCATCCAATGATCCAATCGATCTCAAACTGTGCAAGTGGATGTTTTGTCAGACAACCTAATCACATTGTAAATCACCGATTTTATGCATTTGTATTAAAGAATCTGTCTATGTAACTGTCAACAAAATAAACAGCAGAACGCGCAGACGGCTTGCAGAGGGAGGGAGCCAATGACCTGTAACAGCGGCAGTGTTGGGTCATAAAGGTCAATGCACGTGCAGTTCATGATAGTTACCTGTGCACTGCACAGTGATAGACCGTTTGGATCATTCACATTGACTACTTCTAGCTGTTACAGGTCTTTGGCTCCATCCCTCTTGAGATTGATTGGATCATTGGATGAAGAGATATTTACAAAAAAGCGGGTCCACATGCATTTCATGCCAAACTATAGTATATGATAATATGTATAATAAAGATCCCATTATTGATATATAAGAACAAGAAATCTCTAGAAGTAGAAGCCCAGTACCCTTAAATGTTCTTCCACTGGGTAGGGCCTTACAAAATAATGAGTGAACCCTTTTCTACCCATGTAGTATGTTTTGTTCCTGACAACAAGACTGTGTGGCATCCATATTATACCTGTTACTTTCTTAAAGTATCCCTACTGATTATGTACGGGCAGTTATGAATCATTGTT